CATTCGGCCGTGGAATAAGCTCCTCATTGCCAGAGTCATCTAGGTTTATGGGAGGCCTTTGTTCCAATGAGCCGATAGTATCATCCGCGTCAACTTCGGCGGAAGATCTTTTCTTTGACGATCTAGCTTCCGGGTTGCAGAGTTGTTGCCATTTCGGTGAATGGCTTAAAAGTTTCCATAAATCAATGGGAATTTTGTCTTGGTGTCTATCATCTTGATACCGGACGGGGACTTGCCACAAAATATCGGCATCGTTCATCCCACTCTTCTTGGACCGGGCACATTCCTCGTACAATCCGATAAATTTTCACTTTTTGATTTATGTGGCTCCATTTGGAAGTGAGTTGGTCTCGAGTTTGGTATGAAAGGTCCTTGTTCATTGCGGCAAAACACTTCTCCTCGATACGATCCCACATCGCATCCTTTGTTTGTATGTGTGTGTGTATTTTTTAAAAAATGAGAGGGTTTTTATAATTGAAAATTAATTTTTTAAATTGACCAATGGCCATATTTTGGACTAGGGGTGTTGGTGGCAAGTGGCAACGACTTTATTTCTTCGCTCCTTCATCGCGTTAAACGTTTAACAAATCAGAGATGACGTCTCGATAACGCCACAGGGGGCGATGTTTAACGCTCTCACGGCATTAAACCCGCGATGAGGCTCGGGCTTTAGCCGTATTTCCAGTGCTCTTAAAGACTTGTTCTAATGCACTTATACAATTTATTTCCATTTTCTTCCATTCAATTTAAAGACACAGTGTAATCAAATCAGTAATATGATATCATTTCCTAAGGTTGCCAAAAGAATTTTCATTTCGATTAATTAGGAGTATTTTATTTAATTTCATTTCTTTTGAAGGGCTCATAAAATGATAATAATATAAAAAATGAAGACAGCCCATCCAAAACTTAAAACCAAGAAAGTCAAAGATAGATGTTGAAGTTGGGAAGGCAGAGCACATATTTCCACCCTATCATCAATTCAAAATCTAATAAACTGCACAAGAAAGATGAAGCCCAACAAACAACTAAACCAGTAGTTCAAAGTCCTTTCTTTTCTTCTTATTATTGGCATATTCCCTACCACACCTGCAAACTATAAATGGCTACTCCCTTCTTTAAAAACATAAAAATACAAACTTCTTTGTCTATGCACGACTTGCAACACCATGATAGAGTTGGACACTCTCAACACCAACATCTTCTTTCTATTTCTATTTAATAACTATTAATATTATTATATACTTGAATCCCCACCTTCAAGTATGTTAAAGGAAGAACTTTATTTTTACAGAGAGAGAGAGAGAGAGAGAGAGAGAGAGAATAACAGAAATGCAAAAACTGAATGTGTACACATGTCATCATTAATCTGTAAGCCAAAACTTCCCTCACAAACATGTTTCTTGAGACTTTCAAGTCCAAAGAAGGCTAATCCTCAAGCCTCACACATTTCTACAATCCCAACAAGGGTGTGATGTAGGCAAATCTTACCTTGCATTTTTGCAGGAGAATGCTTTCGAGACTCGAACCCATGGCCTCAAGGTTTCACACCAATGGCTAATGAAAGAAAACCGGAAGAGGGGATTTATATAAAATTTACACAGACATGCTTAATTATTCTCCGCAAACAACCAAAAATAGTGAGCAAAAAGGAACACAATTTCAAGTAGAAGAGAAAGCGTAAGGGAGTGGTTACCTGAGAGGACAGTGCATCAATGTATGTGTGAATATCTGATTTCAAGCTTCTTTATTCATTTGGTAAGATCAATTATAGATTTTGGTTTGAAGATCTTGACTAGTAGAGCAGCATTTGTTTGGACAAATTCATGGCCAAAAAATTTAAGTGAAGTTCTCGGGAGGTAAATCAGAGAAATATAAGAATGTAGTTTTGATAACACTATGCATAACCCAAGAAGAAAACTAGCAGAGAATCTACCAGCAATAAATTTAGGAAGAGTACGTAAAGATTGAATTTTTTTTACAAAAACCAACACTTTCAAAGCTCTTCTAAATTGGGATTTTCAAAACGGAGGATATAAGAGAGAAAGGAATGCAGAAAGGCATATGCAACCAAACATAGAGTCTCATCTATGGACAGCCAAACGAAAGTTCATCTGCATTCAACGCCAACTTCAGCTGCCCGTCTAGGCTTGCTTTTCCTTCGGCTCCCATTTTGTCTGAACCCTACAGACTTTATCAAGTCATCAGTGCTGGTTTGAATCCCCAAACCTTTTTCCTCTTCGGTAGAGTCCCCATTGTCCTTCACTGGAGATGACCGTTTCCTCTTCTTCCCATTCTCAGCTGCTTGATTCTTGGTGTCTTTGCTCAAGATGTTTTTCTTATCGTCGCCCTCCCCTTCATCTTCAACATCCTTCTCAACTTCATCTTTTCCCTCTATTACGTCCTTGGCAGGTTTCTGTGGCCTTCCTCTTCTTCTGGCCGGCGTTATCTTCTCTTCTTCACCACTTCCGAGATCCTCACGCGCAGACAGTTTCTTTCCCTTTCCTCTACCCATAGTGCAGATCCAGAAATTCTATCCATAAATACATATAGCTTTGTATCAGTGTTTGAATACCAGAAAATTAATACATAAACAGACTCAATGGAACTATGCAGATATTAAAGCAAACAAAAACATATTTGACCATTCAATGAAACAAGAATCTTCTGCAAATCCTGCAGATGCTGGAGAATTTAACAGGTAAAAAGCAGAACCAAAGAGCACTATCCGACCATAAATCGAAATCCAAGAATCCCTATATCCAAACTTATCAAGGCAATACAAATCTAGAAAATGGATCACACAATAAGTACTCCACTTTAAAAAATAAAACTGAAATCCAAGAAGATGGAGAGTTCATATAAGTTCATTGAAATTTGGAACTGAAACCCAATAAAACGTTGAAAGATTCAATATTTCAATAAACCCACAAGAAAGAGTATAAAAAAAAATCAAATCTTTGACGATTCTGGAAACTTGAAAAGAAGAGAAACATACCTATTCACACTAGGTCTGGCCCTGAACAAAGAGTTCAATCTTAAACCAACGGAAATATCTCAAAGACTCAAACTATGGGTAAAACCAGTGAAATCTCAATAATCAGAATGCTTATTTTGCCTTTAGCATCAACAGGAGCAGAAGAGAGTATTCTGTGAGTGAAGAGCGGTATTGATTTGAGTGAGAAATAAAGAAAACCAAATCAGAAAGGAAAAGGGGGGGATGGGAGATTTACAGCTTTTGGGCTTTAGATGTGAAGAGATAAAGGTCTACCACAATAACAGCACATTTAAGAGGGGGGGATTCAAGAAAAACTGAGCCAGATGAGTCTATGAGGAAGGGGGAAAACATAGTTGCAAGTATGAGTGTAGCTAAACGTAAGGGTATGTTTGGAAAAGACAAAACACATGATAATTTCCATTAAATTGTCTTCGTAATTATTATAGAGCTTCTTCGGAAGAGTTTTTTTTTTAACTCTACAAAAATGCTAAATTTAAGAACCAAAATTTAAATTTAAACTTTTTTTATTTGAGACTATATTGTTCTTTTGCTAGGTTTAAAAATGACATGTAAGTTATATGATTTTTTTTGTCTGCGACTCTAGCATTATTCAAAATTTTGGTTTGACTAAATTTCATTTTAAACGAATCATTGTTTAATGGGTTCAGTTTTTCACAATATGATTTTTTTATTAAACAAACTCATTAAAATGTGTCATGCAACAATGTAAAACATCAATTATATTTCAATTTTTTTAATTTTCATCTTTTATTTTTTTAGGGCTAAAAGAGTAGTTGAAGTACAAAAATTTAATTGTATGATCAATTATTTCTATTTATATTTCTACTTTATTGTTTTTCACATATCACATACTACTTTTTAATTATCCGTTTTAGTTTTCGAGTTGAACATTTGACGAACAATCTATAAAATATATTAGCAAATTAATATTAAAATAGTGAAATAAAAATACTTTTTGATAGAAATACTGTATTGTAATTCTTATATATATATATATATATATATATATATATGTATGTATATATAGAACAAGTTCAGCTAGCTAGCTTTCATTTACTAGAATATACTTTGTACTTATTTATTGTTCATCAACTAAATAGGGAGCAATGCATCTGTGAATCTAAGGTTTATTATAGGTAAAAATATAAACCTTCCAACACTTTTCATAAGTAAATTAATGAATTTTTTCTTTTTTGTAAAAATTACAATTATTTTATGGTGTCTATACACTACGATCCATAAAATGAGTGTGGACCTAAAGAAAATATAAGAATTTACTTTGAATAAGTTTATTTATGCATTTCTATAATTAGTTATTTGAGGATTGGATTTGTTAATTATCACTAAAGAAACATACTTCATTGTTTTTTACTCCATTCTTCCTAATTTAAGTTGTTTGTTTAATACTGACAAAATCAAACTTTAACTACATTCTTTACCTATTTTTGCTATCCATTTAATAATATAATATACTCTTGTCGTCTACTCCCTCCGTCCCACAAAACCTTTCTTGTTTTGAGTTTTAAAAGATTTAAGAGAGTGTGTTTTGGTATTGACTTTTCAAAAATGTCATTGGATATGATGAGCAAAAATAGAATGTGATGGATAGATTAATAGTGAATAGATATAATGTGATAGGTATGTTAAGAATTAATAAGAACAAAAGTGACTTTTTAATACAAATGAGAAAAGTTTTCTTTTTTTTAGAAAGATAAAAAAGAAAAGAGAAAAATTTTGTGAGACATGGGAAATATTTTGTAAATCTTCATAGAAATCTTATTTTAACATAATTTCTGTGTCTTACTCTTACTTTCATTTTTTTTTTTTCAAGAAACTGTGTGGGTTTATATTCGTGAACATACAGATCAATAAATTAACCAACACAAACAGGGAATGGCAGGAGAACAACCTTCACAAATTTGATGTGGGTTATGGTGTGTATTTATTTTCATTAATAAAGGTGATACTCGTAATAAGCATAAAAGGACTCCAACATTAATTTTCAATGTACAATACGTAAAGCTGAATGTACATACAGGCCCTAAGAGTAGATTCTCAACCACATCAAATCCCTCAACAACAAAAAAAAAAGAGAATGTGGTCAGGGAAACAGTGGTGTTGAGTGTTTGAATCATCAAAGTGACCCTTGGAGTCACTTTGGCTGGCTTCTCAGAACAGTTTCATTTGAGAAGATTTTGAAGTCTTGAGATATCAAATTTGAAACCTCTTTATACTTCACCAAACACCTATAAAAAAGGTTTTGATATCTGAATCCATATGCCCTTTGCTCACCAAACAGGCCTTTATACTGCAACAAACAATTTCATCAATTTTGGCATGTGTATTTTTCTTTCTTCAACTTTTCCCACATATGAGGGCCACCCGGGTGAGTATTCACATACGTCTTCACGAATACTTTCTCCGAACACGCTATGAGAGTGCTCAATGCCAACTTGGGGCCCGCTTTCCCTCGCTCCCTCAGCCATTTGTACATCGAAAGCCTAAGCATGCTCCTCTTGAGCGCGTATGAAATGTAATTGGGAAACGCGACTAAACACGACACGTCACAGCCCAATGTGTTCTTGAGAAAATCAATCTTTGCCTCAATGTGTTCCTTGCTTTGGTTGAGAATGTTAGGAGAAAACCTCACAATCTTCGCCGCGTCCTCTGGCTTTAAGCCTGAGTTCACTAAGCAATCGTATCTCTCTTGAAGCTCCAACCCCTTGCCACGAAATGCTTTCAGAGCTTCCTCCATTTCCCTTGAGTCCTCCACGAACCCTAACCTCAACAAAAACTGTGTTTTCATGGCTTTTGATTTGACTTCCTCGTCCTCCTCGGGTGAGGGGAGGGGGTCCACCCTCACCCCTAAACCCCATTTCTTCAAAACATGTGGATCTGTCAAGATCATTTCACGGATCCTCTTCTTCCCGGCTTTTAAGATTGTTAGCAATGTTGTCACTTTCTTCAAAGGGCAAGAACCCAGCAGCACAGCGTGCGAGCGAACCACATTGAAAATGTCTTGGCTGTCCATTCCAATTTCAACCAAGAAAACATAACCGTTACGTAAATTTCTAACAAACTCTGCAACTTTGAACTCCTTATGTTGTTGAAGAAACATCTTCTGTATTTCGTCCCGTCCAAACCCAAATTTCAACAAGAACCCAATCAGTGAAAACGTACTGTGTCCCGATGTATCAAACAAAATCTCTGGATTCTGGCAAACCACAGTTCTTAGCTGCTCCTTACAGAAACCTAAATTACTGAGCAAGAACATCACTTCACCCACTCGCCTCCAATTGAAAGAGTGGGCCTTTGATAGTTGCCCTTGAATCCACTCACACTCAATCCCATTGCTCCTTAACTTCTCCAGAACCCTAAAGAAGTCTCTACTCACATTCCCTGTCAGGAGATGAGGACACAAACACACAACCTTAATAACTGTGACCTGATTCAAGCCAAACTCTTCGAAAGACAACAGCTTTGATTTCAGAATTCCAGGCCCGTATCGGAACACCTCTGGGGCATTCTTGTAAATGGTTCCTATCTTATTCCGCTCAACGCCGTAGCTACACAGAACTTGATAGTTCTCTATCAATGGCCTGTCATCATTCAAGAACATGATGTCCTGAGGCAGAAACACCGAGAACTCAGAAGGGCTCAACCCCACACTCTCAAAGAACGGTTCAAACTCGTTGATGGGATTGTACCGGAGGTGACGCGCTACGGATTGTACTATGTTACCGTCCAGATTCACCTTGCTCAACAAGGATTCAAGAAAACGAGGCGAATTCTTGCTTATATGCTCAGCAACAGTGAAGGGCAAGCTTCTGGTGGTATGCAGGTACTCAGTAAGGGCAGACCGGGCCTTTTTCCTAATCGCTGGGAGACTCTTCCCCGGAATTACAACATTCTGTTTCGTGGTATATGACCTAATCGTCGGAGCTATGTGGGTCGACCCGGAGAAATAAGAAATGCAATTCAGAACAGCAGATGAAAATCTCGGTTTCTGGAAATGGGTCATGGACTACTATCAAGCAAAGCCAGGCCAGAGCTGGGGAGAAATTGCGGAGGCTTCGTTTGGGGTGGAGCCTTTTTTCCAGACGGCGGCGAGATGTTGAGCAGTTAGTGTGGAACGCCCAGACGGGAAGAAGAAGATATGAAAGTGTAGGACCTGAGGCATACCCTAGCCAGTCTTACGGTGCATTCAACATGCAAGCAGCAAACATTCTACTGTGACTCGGTTCACATAATGATAAAAGTATTGTGAAGCATTTATGTTTATTTCTCCAAGGGTTGTGTTGAATACAGAAAACTCCTACCCTATTTATAAGCCAAGAATCCAAATCCTAGAAGGAAACCAGTAAACTAGGAAACACAGAGTACAAGACCAAAATAAACTAGGAAATCACTTAAATCAAATCCTCAAAGGATTCGGCCTTCCAGTGTGCGTGCAAGCCAAGGAACGAATTCTCGTTCCGTAACACCCCCCCTCAAGCGGGTACGTGTGGATTACGAGTGCCCAGCTTGGACAACAGATGCATGAAAGACGCAGTGGGCAATGCTTTAGTCAGGATGTCAGCAGGTTGATCAGCCGAAGTAATATGCATGGTGCGAAGGATGCCACGCTGAATCTCATCCCGAACGAAATGACAGTCAATCTCGATGTGTTTAGTGCGCTCATGGAATACTGGGTTTGCTGCTATGTGAATCGCAGCCTGACTATCACAAAATAACTTCATAGGAAGGCGCACTGTAATTCCAAACGACAAAAGAAGAGACCGCAACCACTTGAGTTCACATACAGTAGTAGCCATCGCACGATATTCAGCTTCAGCCGATGAACGGGAAACAGTATGTTGTTTCTTTGTTCGCCACGAAATCGGTGAATCCCCAAGCTTTATAAAGTATCCTGTCAC